TTAACCATTGCTCTAATATTGGGCTTTCGGATTTTGCTTTTCGTACAGTAAAATACAAAGAATATGGCATATTGGCATATATCTTTTTAGGTATTCATATTACTGAAAATTTATTCATCAAAGTAGGATTAAAGGGTCAAAGGCTATGAATACCTTTAAAGTTCTTAATTCATATTGTCAATTCACTTCCCCAAATAATTGTAAAAATTTGTATTCCCATTAGTAAAAGACGAGAGATTTTATTTTTATTGCACACTTGCTAACATTTAGCATTATTTTATCTTTTAAGTACTATATAATTTTGTAAGTAAACCTCAAAGCCTTTTAAAAATGTAAATGTTTAAAAATGTTGAGGAAACACCTGGATTTCTAAGAAATCTTACACAAACAACTAATAGCCTGATAAACAAGTTAGAAAACTTTTGATTAAATGTCCAATTGAAAATTAAACATTCTAAAAACTATAAAGTCATGAAAAGCAAAAATCTAAATTAAAACTACAAGCAAACAAAATCTCTAAGATCTGTTACTTGGCCACAATGGGAAATGAAATTAAATTAGGAATAGCCCAATCAGATAGTCAAAGCCATTAACTGGATATTTTAAAATAAAGATTGAACTCTATTGCAAGTTCCATTTCTTAACTTTGTCTCTCTCTATAATTATGATTTCAAATTATGTCTCTCATAAAGAGTATAAAACTAGATTCCTTCCCCTTCAATTTTGAATTTCCTTTAACAGGTGAATTGAATTCATTTACATTATTATCCTTGATATATGATGATCCCTGATGTATACCATCTTATTTATTGTTTTCATTTACCACAAGTTTTGTTCTTTCTTTTTTGTTCCTGATATGCCCTTAAAAATCTCATTTTGAATTATTTATGCATTCAACCTTTATATGTGTAATCAGTATTATCAGTAAAGTCCAATGCAAGTAGTATTACTGTTTTTTTCTTGAACAAGATATGGTAATTAGAAAATTTTAACTCGGTCACACTTCTCATGTTCTGAAATACCATTGTATAGAATTTAATTTTATTTTATTTTCAAGTGTTCCTAATTGGCTTCTCCTTTTAAAAAGAATTAATTTTTAAAGTTTGGTAATTTACTAGTGAGAGTTTGTGAGTAGTAAGCCCTCTCGATTGTCTGAAATTATTTTTAACTTTTCTCTCTTACATAATACATTTTGGATTTTCTCATTTTATCCTCCAAGGGTTTTAACCTCCCTTTTACATAATCACATGGAAAGTTTTAGGAGGTCTATGTTCCATTTCATTAATGCCCTCTATAACTATATCTAAAACTTTCTCTAATCTGACCTGATTTTTTAATCTCTGAGTGAATTGTAACTTTAAATCATCATGTTTACAATTATAGACATTCCATGATTTTTTCCTAAATCTGACTGCCCTTTTTACAATATTTTATTGTTTCATTTGTGCTTATATCCCTTTTAAAAAATACCATCTGTATCTTTATTTTTATTTATTTTATAGTCTCATTCAGATTGCCCTCTGAGTCTATGTTATGAGAATGTTAACTCACCTATACATTATGTTGCTGACTCTCCTTTAAGCAGACTGTTCCCTTGGGTGATATGAAACTTTGTATTATAAGCTCATTTTCCAGACTGGGCTATTTTTATCATAGACCAACGCACTTGGGTTTTGGAAAGAACTCTAGAGAATGGCTTGCTGCTTGTTTCTGTTGGTACCCCAGAAGTTTTACCAATTATGTAAATTACACATCTTTTGTTTTTTGCTCCCTGTACTGTATCTTAGACTCCATACCAAAGCTGGGTGTAGGACTGTGGTTTTACTATAGGTTTTATTTAAGTGAAGACTTTATTTTTCTTTTCTCTACCATGAATTTTCCTGTGGCTTCTCAAGCTGGGTGGGTAAGATATTTTCTAGTTATCTTTCATGGTGGGGGCAGCCATTTATGAGACTCAGCCTTATTCAGGGTTCTTGCTTTCAACTCTGGGCCTCAGGCTTTTGCAAATTCAGGGCTTCTGCCTCTCAGCCAAAACTGAAACCCTAACTCCCATTCCCTACATCCATACCCAATGAGGATATATATTGCACCCTACATCCATGTTCAAGGCCCCTCTTGGTGTCCACTCAGACAGTTACCTCTCTAGATTTTAGTTTCTACTTTAGTTCTGGCCCTTGAGGAATTCCCTATTTTTCTCTTTAACTTGATTCCCTCTCTCTCTTTCTTTCTGTCTTTCTCCCTCTTTCCCTCCCTTAAACACACATACACACACCATATGTGTGTATGTATGTCTTTTAGGTTTTAATATTTTATACAATATTCTACATATCTGAGTAAAGGGTGTTTGTAATTTTGTAATGAGGGAGGTAGTTAAGGAAGAAATGTGTCTGAATACAATTGTTTTGAACAAATTAGTGAATAAGCATAAATAGTAATATTTTCTATGTATTTCACATTGTATGCTTTTAGGTACCAATTTGGCTTTTGAAATTACTACATGACATTATCTAGGTAACTGAATTCTACTGACATCCATTATGAACTTTGAATTTGTCCTACCTAGCAGCATATCTACATATATATCAGAATCATTTGTAGACAATTTCAAGTGAATTCAGAGGTTATATTGCATACCTGGTTCAATGGTAAGTAGGCTAGCTTTATTTTGAGATAATACTGGAATTTTTATGAAGAACTATTTATTAAGGCATTGAAAACACTAATTCTCCTAAAGTAAACAAACATTAAATGCTAATTCTTAGCTGTCAATTGCAACTTTCTGTCTTTTCTATTCCCATTCTTTTTCATAATACGGACCTGTCCCTCTTGCAAGCTTGGTACTTTCATTATTAGAAAGCCTTTTGTTTTCCAAAATAAAGGCTAAGAGCAATAATAATTCTTTGCAAGACTTTGGCAACAATGTTATGTCAGAAACACCCAGTTTATTGGTAAACAGAAACTACTGCTTTCACTATAAAATACTATAATTACACAGTGCGGCAATATCTCTGTTTTTTGTCAGGGAGGAAATCAATAATACAGATTACAATTCTCTATTGCACTAGAGTAGAGAAAGAGCAGAAGAAAGAGTTTATTGACTTAATAGGGGCTGTTACTATAACAAATCAGAATTGTAAAAGAAAATAGATTTTTAACTGATTTTAATCCAAACACCCAAATGTTCCAGTCTAACAAGAGAATTGACAAAAAAATAAACAAAACCAAACAACAACAAAATCCCCTTTAGTAGCTTCATTCCCTTTCCTTATTTACACATACACTTCATACTAACATCATTGGCAAGTATCCAATCATAAGAAAAAATTCTATTAATGCTGTAAGAAATAAGCTAGATGTTAAGGGAATGCTGTGTCATGAAAGTCTTGATTTGAATATTTCATGTTTGTATCTGAAAAATGTTATAATTTAGAATGTGTCATTTTGTGTAACTAATAAAAGGCCCAGTGTTCCATCTTGTGGCTTTGTATTCCTCGTTAAATAGGTTACTTTAGGAAATTTTAAATATGCACAATAGAAGCAGTAGGCTGAAATATAATATTGAGACAGGGAGAGAGGGAAGAAAGAGGGATGGGGGGGATAGAGAGAGAGAGACTTCCAATTTTGCTACTTTTCGATCACATGAATCAATTTGTCAAACACTAAAGGAAGAATACTAAATCATAAATATGTTAAAAGAATAACTTGTTTGACATATGTTTTTACTTTAATCCTTACTCAAACTCATGCCTGAGGAGCAAACCCTGTCTCTCTGGATAAATGGTTAGTCAAACAGCTGCATTCATTTCATTCTGCATTTTAGGTACAAACTTAGTGAGATGCAGTCCCCACATCATAACCAGTAGCTGTGCTTTTTACACTCAGCAGCAACTCATTTTCAAAGACTGTAACCTACAGTGGACAGAAAAATAAAAGGCCTATTGGATTTTTGTTCTGTGTCAGCAACATGATTACTTATTTGTATTTTAAGTAGGGTTTCTTTTTAAAGGTCCCTGTGTGTACAGACTCTGGGAGGTAAACAGAATATCATAAATATGGTAAAAATAAAATATTTTATTTGTAAAAGGTTCTACACAAATATATTTGGTTGTTTGTATTCGTGAGCAATTTGTAATGTATTATAAGAAATGTCAACATTTGCCCACCATTAGTTATGATATGAAGATATTACATTGTTTGACCTATTTATCTGTATAGGTGTGAGTTCAGAACAAGTCTTAGTAACTTAATTCATGGTCATGAAAGAAACGGTAAATTTTGTACACTAAGGGCTCCTTAATAAAAGGGTAAGACTTCATGGTGTGGAAATCAAACAACCATCTCATTAAGAAAATCTAAAGAACAAAACCATAAACAATGTTGAATATTTAGCTTAAAGCACCCATCATATTCCTGAGCCAATCTTCTACATTTATTTTTAAATTTTATGTTTTATTAACATTGTTTCCTTTAAATAAACATAATTTCCAACAAAATTCAGCATTTTCAAGGAGCTGTGAAGATGCCCCATTAAATACATGTAAATTGATAAATCTACCTGCAGAAATGTTTCCTGTCCTTATATATATTATACATCCCATGGACCTTAGTTCAGGTATGGTAGTGAATTAGGAAAAAATAGCTTATTTGTTGGTAGTCATGTGACTTCTATGAGGAGTTTAGGGTGCCCTTTTGTGAACTCTAATAAAAATGAGTAGTGGTTCCCTGGTCTGGAAAGAATGACAGCCTCTCTCTGGAAATGACTAAATCACACTTTGCTCACTGGAAAGCAATACTGTGTGTGTCATTTGTTAACTGGACACAGTTATTCCTTTGGTTCTTGGGAGCTTACCCTTTTCAATTTGAAAAAAGAGCTAGGGTATTGATATATTATTACATTTTTGTTGTTCAAGTAATTTCTTAATTTCTAATATTTCCTGCAAAGAATTCTGAAAGGTTAAATCTCAGGTTCCCCTGTGTGTCATTTGCTGAAACAGACTTACTCTGCATGCAAAGGCCATCAGTGCAGTTCTTGGACTGCAGGACCAGACCGTCGCAGTCCTTGCCTCCGTTCTTGGGGGCTGGCGCCGTGCACTCCCTCCTGCGCCAGTGTGTACACTCGGTCCCACAAGTAGACCACTTGCTCCAGGACGTCCACCTGCCATCCACTGTCACAGAGAAAACCCAGGATCAGGTCAAAGGGAGAGGATCTTCTTGAGAGCAAAGGAGAGCTGAGCTCAAATATAAATGCAAAACAAAAAAGCTGGAGAAACTGCCCCACTGAGGAGTTACTACATTTCTTTCAACTCCTGGAAGCGGAGCATGCTCTGCGTACGTCTGCTGTGCTCTGCGAGCTCTCCCAGGAGCTGTGTGGCTGTTTCCTCACTGACCAAGCAAGGGCAGCTTACAGGGACACACAGAACCAAAGCTGTCACCGACAGCTACATAAAGTAAGTCATCGTGGTGCTACTTTTTCTATCAAAAGGGAAACTTCTGGATTTTGTATTGAAAATTAGGGGGCTTCTTTTGAGACCCAAAATTCCTTCATGCATAGTGTCATGTGGGCAGTGCAAATAAACTTATGTAGGGGTAAGGAAAAAGGTTGGTAGAGTGGGGAAGAAATCTATCTGTGTATCCATCCATCCATCCATCCATCCATCCATCCATCCATCCATCCATCCATCCATCATTTATCAGTGTATCTCTATTTATCTATGTATTAATCTATCATCTATGTATGCCCTATATACTCTTCTTATTTGATTTTTTTCATCAGGGCTAATTGATTCTCCTAAGATCTTCTTGAAAAGAGAATTTTTCATTTATTATTTGATGATTCCATTCTAATACTTTATGGTGTATACATTTTTATTTTAAAATATGGTCATTTCTAATTTTCTGCTGTGATTCAGTAATTTAGAATTGACTCACTTTCTATTTTTGGTGACTGACTTGGCAGTAATTTCAATGATAATGAGCTGAGATATCTCTATTTTAAAACATATAAAGTAAATTTAAAAATATATAGTAAATTTCACTAAGGTCATATTTTAAAAAACATTCTTTAAAGGTTCTTACATAAATGGGATAAAAATATTGATGAGTTAAATTTAATTTTCCCCCTGAAATAGATAAACAATTATGATTATCTATAATTCAACATAAACAATGTTAAATATAATTTATTGAACATCTAATATACATAGCATCTTATACCTCTATAACAATTTTAATAGTTTACTATATGATTTCATATTCAAATTATTGTGTAAATATATTATTCATAATATGTATAGTGATCTAAACATGCTCACATGAAAAAAATGATGAAAGCATTAATACTTTAATCATTTAGAGTTGCCTGTATAAGCAGCTCCTAGATACCTGGAGAAAAGGCATTTGCTTTGACCTAGAACATCCCAAATTGCACATGTGCACACACACACAGACACACACACATATTTCTATTTCAACTCAAAATGCTCAGCGCATTTTTAATTGTAGGAGTCAACATCTAGGTAAAGTATAAAAGAGTACAAGATAAAATACTGAATTGCAGACCTAGCTAAGTGTCAAAACTTGTTCCATAAATAAAAGCCCTCAAACAGTTCAGTATAGGATACTATTTTGATATTTGGAAATCAACACAGGAATATAAACTATTTGATCATGTTTTTATTTTCAGTTCATTTCTTCAACTCATATCTCAGAAAGTTTGTATTAAAGGATAAACCAGACAAAAATTAGGCAAAATAAAGGGACGTAAAAAGACTGTGTATCTAAATAATGTAACTGACAATATGATTGCTACCTCAATGGAGTGCACTAAATTTATGGATTATTTCAAAATAACTTTAGCTAAACTTTTCAATTCATTGATTAGAATGTAGAGAGATTTCGTTTGGGTGGATATTAACTTCAATTTACCTAAGAGCAGGTGACAATATAAAATAGCACAGAAAGATGTTCAGAGGCAGAGGGATGCAATCTTGGCATAAGTACCACTGCATATAACTCACAAAATAGGTGACCAACAAATACAGAAAATAAAGTGTTGACTGCATTGTATTTTCAAAATCCATTAGCTCATGTGTCAACAAAGCTTAGACTTCCTTTTAATTCATTCCAAATGTTTTATTTGCTCTTGCTCAGAAACTCACACTAAATACAAAATATTTCCGTCTAAAACATTTTTTGAATTTCAGTTCTAATTAGTTCCCATGGCTTTCTGGAGATCAAGGGTTGTTTTTCCTAAAATGTGTCACTTTCAATGGTGCTCAAATCTCTTGAATTACAGAACCTGCAATCTTGGCTCCAGCAGTTTTGTTTAGTAATAGAGAGGGATTATGTTTATAAGTGTTTAATCTCCTGTGTTATATTATTTTTCATGTCTAGGTAATAAAGTTAAGTACTCTTTTGGGGGAAAAGATTTCATTTCCCAGCAATGTAAGCATTGAATGGTATGATGGATTTAATAATGTTTACCACACATTAAGGTCAAGGATAAGGCTGTGTGTATATCCCTTAAAACTCATTTCTGGAATGGGAGGAGACACAAGAGCAGTGGCTTATTTACCTGGGCATAATGTGGTACAGGCTATTTTCTGCACGCTCTGCCCTTCACAGAAGGCACCGCCGTTGAGTGGCGCTGGGTTGGTGCAGGTCCTCGTGCGTTTCTGATACCCTCGCCCACAGCGACTGTTACACACAGACCACTCTGTCCAGGTGGACCAGCCACCGTTTACTGGAAGGAGGTAAATAGTAAAATGTGGATTAAATGTATGTGTATTCACATAAGAACACAAACCACACATAACACATCAACAAAAAGCTATCTCCCAAGTGACTATATAAAATATCTAAAATTCAAACCTAATAGAGACCATGAACATCGTATCATTCAAAGTTTTATCACAGAGCTGAAGAATCTAAGCACAGAGATAAATAAATTCAATTACCAACATTTACTCACCTACTCAGAAAGGAAAATAGGATTGTGTTCTCTTTTCCTTGGCCAGCATTCTTTTTAAAACAAAATACATCCCCTTACCTAGTCAAGCTCCAGAAATTACTTTTGACAGCTTACCTCAAATAATAAATATTTACATCCTTATGCCAAGGCTGTAAGTGGATATGAAATATGGGACATGAATAAAATTATTCCGCCTTTTCTTAACAACAGATGATTGATGATTTTTCTTTAGCATATGTAAACTTTACAACTTTTTAAGGATTTTTAGTCAGTTTTATTAACTAACCATTGAACATGATTTAAAAAATAGTCTCATATTGCTGTGTTCTTTTTCAGTAATTGAGTAGCTATTTGATTGAATTGGCAATTAGTTGATGTAATTGAAATGAACACCTGTTTTGTGTATGAAGGCTAATTATGGTGTTTGATGGAGATGTCACTATAGATGAGATTATAAAACCTACACTCTAACACTGTTCATTATTTACCTCTGAGATCTTACTCTAGAAAATACTCTGATATATATATATATACTTCAAAAATGTGAGTCTATCAATTTTTTGTAATTAAACAATTTCTAACAAAAATTATTTCTTGGTAGTTAGGACATGACACAACTAGTATATGCATATGCCTCCTGATAGTAAAGAAAAGTGTTAGCCATTCAAGTAACACAATCTTTATATGTGCATATTATATGCCTAACACTTCCTTTTCTAGAAACCGATGCAGTAAGTAATAATCATGCATGTGTTACATACACAGACTCAGGCAAGAGTATTTTTCACAACAGTTATTTTTTTATAAAGAGATAAATAATTAAAAACAATGAAATGTTCAACAATAGGAAAATGGTAAAAAACCCATGTATGTTCACGTATTGACTCCTAGGCAGCCATTGAAATGATGTTATAGAAGTCTATTTGGTAATCGATGAATGTTTCATGGTATGTTTTAAGTAAAAAGGTATTTATATCCCTTATTTTAAAGTTCTATATATGAATAGAAAATATCAGTGGTATATATATCACTCTTTTTTAAAGCTATCTCTGGATGACAAGATTATGGGTATTTTCTTCTTTGGCCATTTCTGTGCTTCCCAAATTTTCTGTAATGGACAAATATTTGCAATCTAAAAATGACACTAACAAAAATAAATATATACAACTGACTCAAAAATGAAATACTTGTTAGATATATATGTTTTTCTGTGGATTTCCAGTGAGCCCATCCTATGAGCCTTGGACAATTTATTTTATGAGGCCATAAAAAGGACAAGCAGATAGTTGATAGGTAGAGTCTTAATTAGTGTTTCAAAAAGCATCGTAACCTGCTCAACTTGACAAAACTCCAAATGTGGAATGATCAGTATAAATTTCTTAGTAGCGTACAGGCAAGCTGATATTTAGGGTTATATATACATGTATTACTCTGCTAGGATTTTAATGAGAAATGAATAATCATAAACTTTTTTTTAAATATATCTTTATTGATCTCAGAGAGAGGAAGGGAGGAGAGAGAGATAGAAACATCAATGATGAGTGATTGATCAGCTGCCTCCTGCACACTTCCTGCTGGGGATCGAGTCCCCAACCATGGCATGTGCCCTGACTGGGAATCGAACCTCGATCTCCTGGATCCTAGGTCGATGCTCAACCACTGAGCCACACCCGGCCGGGCATCATAAACTTTTAGAAAAAGAAAAGTCTTCAAAAATCCTAGGCTTATTTCCTCATTTTATGGAGAAGGTAACAAGGGCTCTGAGCATCATAATTAAGTGACCAACTGGAGGTGAGGTAGTAGAAGAACTAGTCCTAGAACACAAGACTCAGGACCCCAAGTCTGATGCTGTTTTGAACTCAAAATGCTTGTGCCTTACGTTTGATTATTCCTAAAGACAATTTTGGCTTGTAATTATTGGTTACTTGTCATTCTTGATTGTAATTGTTGGATATTGAAAGTATGCTAAACACAGTAAAAGAGATTTGCATGTGTATTAAATATCTATATAATACATCTATATAAGAGTCTACCTTCATTAGTTATTTATTACTGTTATGTGCTGTGATGTGTCTCATTTCTCATTTGCATTTTCAATGCTGTTATTTAAGTCATTTAGTTTAGAAAAAGACAAAAAGAAACTTTTCATTGTGACTTAAGAAAGCAATTACTTACAATTCAACATAGCGATTATATAACTAGAAACTTAAGCCTCAGAGTATTCAGAAAATTAAAGAAAATAGTAAATGACAGTTTAAAGCATCACTACATTCAGCCTTTGGAACATCACGGTGGTTTTCGTTCTCAGACCTCCCTAAACATGAGGGCACATCCATCCAAATGGTTCTATCTGCTGTAAGTACCCGGAGCCAGATACTTGCCAGTGGCTGTCACTCCTTCAGAGACATCTCCTTCAGAGATATTAAGGCCTCTGGAGTGTCATTTAACACTGAAGCAGCCATGAAAAGCTTCCTTGCATTTTAAGTGTTAGTCGTATCATTCAAGAGGTGTCATAACCTCAAAGTCCTTCCCAGTGTTCTTCAATTTCCTCTGAGACAATAACTCATCAAGAATATGAAGACCTACTGTATGTCTAAACTGTGAGAAATCCATAAATATACAGAGTTGACTCTTAGTCCATAAATGAGCTTAAAGATTAGCTGGGGAGATGGAACTACTCATGAAATGACTAGAAAACCACTGAGTTCTTAACCATACAGGGAGATAAAGCATCATATGACAGAGCAAAATTGGGTGGGAAATTGTTTACTAATTCTGGAGAAATGATAGGCTTAGGAATGAGAAAGATTAGGAAGGGCCAGAGAGTAGGAGAGAAGATTCTTGAAAAAGTCATTATGTTGATCCTTGCCACACAGTTAGGATTAGGGCCACTTGGCAATGGCAGTGCTTGTCCTCACTCTTAATGCACTGATGGAGTGTGTAAAGCAAGTTCCAGGAAGTTAAAGTTGCTCTGATGTGTTTGGGCTCCATGTCAGTTCCAGTTTACCTGGGGTTTTGCAATCATTGGATTGAACCAAGGTTCACAGAAGTAGCAGCGAGCTGCTTTAAGCATCTTCTCTCCGAATTCACTCTAGATCTCGGTGGTCCAGGGTAGGGAGAGAGGAAGGCTCAGGGAAGCAGCTGGCACTTAGGTAGATTTCCTTCATTTTCTTATAAACTGACTGACAAGGGGCTAGGAATTTCTAAGAAGAATCTTTCTATGAGTATCAGGGAAGCAGTTAAACCTCACTGTCCACATGAGAAGCTGAAAGAAGGAGGCGATGGGGATTGCAAAAGGGCCTCTCGTTTGATGTTTTAAAATTAAAATGAGATCTGCACTTTGATATGAACTAGATTGAGACCCCAAAGGTTCACTCACCATAGACGATGACAGTTGCTGTTGTGCTTTTCCTCTTGGCAACAATATTTTTGGCGACACATGTATAGTTTGCGGTATCTGAGAGGCGGGCCTGCTTGATGATGAGGTTGTGATCAATAGTAATATAAAAATTCCGATCTTCAACGGGATCAATGATGTCTTCATTTTTCAACCATTCCACCTAAAGACGCACAAGAGAAACAGATAATTCCCCAGTATGTATCCTCTGATGGCCACCTGTCCTAACTTGGTTTTGGAATATGTGTAACATTGCTTCACACTGTGAACTTCTGCAAACTGGGAGGAAGTAACTTTCTGGGGTCATGTGAAGTATCACTCACCTGCCAAACATGCTGATTCTGCCTGTACTATGGTATTCTCAAATATCAATGAACCCACTGGGAAATACAGTGTTCAAATTGTTTTCACTTTGCCCTGCAGGCAGGAACAGGGAATGTGCCGCTGCCAAGTTCAGAACCCAATCAAAAATAATAGGCTAAGCATTTCAAACTGAACTCAAACCTTTTGCTATTTGATTTGTTTACTTTTGGCAACCAACCTGCAGCTTTTCAGGAAAGAGTATGAGAACTATTTAAAAAGCTCGAGAGGCATCTTCCACATGTAGCTCTAATAAAACAACATTTGGATGATTTACGTGTAGCCTTGCTGAAACATATGGACTAAATTTCCCTGAAAATGCACTTACTTTAAAATGCTGTAAACACATATTTGGAGATGCATCTAAGCCAAAATAGTTGAGGGGGAAGAAAAGGTTTCCTACCTACTCTCAATATAACCCAGAAGCATGTAAGTCATACTCACATCTCTCTTTTTGTATATTGCTAGTGTCAAATCTTTGGCTCATGGTTTGCTTCTGAGGAACCTGACCACAGACATGACTGTCCAAAACTGTTAAACTAGGCAATTAATATCAATTTAGCAACAGCAATGTATTCCCTAGAGAATGAAAAGAGGGGGATGTATCTGTTTAAGCTGTCCTATGAAGGATAAACTTTGCTTGTCCTATAAATTGCTCCCCCACCCCTTATGCACAGGTTTTTCCATAAAGCTAAACAACGTTGATATTTATCACATTTAAACTTTCCTTTTGCATTCCTGTGGATGTGAATACAGGTAACCTTTAGTGGTAGGGGGTCAACAGTGTTGCCATTTTCAAAATCTTAAGGAGCTTCCCTAGCCCCACAGGAGGTCTGGAAATTAGTCTCTGAATCTGTCAGTGGGCTTGACTTCGAACAGCTGTATATCAAATCTAACCCAGGGACTCTAAAATAATGCTCCTCTAGTCTATAGGAGAGAAGCCATGATTTAAAAAAAAAAAAGAGAACCCAACAATAATCCTGGAAAAAAATGCATGAGAAAGTCGATAAGAGCAACTATTTGTAATAACATACATTTTGAAATTGGGAACCATTCTTGGTATTCACGCTAATGGAAGTGAGAAAGAGAATGAATCCATCTAAAACAGTGGAGTTTTAAAACATGTATTTTGTTCTCAAATACAGACTGTACATTCGGTCAGGGCCATGCTTGGAAATGCACTTTCTTTTTCTTTTTTTAAATATATCTTTATTAATTTCTGAGAGAGGAGAGGAGGGGGAGAGATAGAAACCTCAATGATGAGAGAGTCCCTGATTGGCTGCCTAAGCCCACAACCCGGGCATGTGCCCTGACCGGGAATCGAACCCTGATCTCCTGGATCCTAGGTCGATGCTCAACCGCTGAGCGACGCCCGGTCGGGTGGAGATGCATTTTCGATCAGATATTCATACTCATACTTGACCTGGATTTTCTCAAAATATGGCCCTGTGTGTGGTAATGTGATCCCGCTAGAGGTGCAAGGGAAAGGCAGCAAAAGTGTAGCTCTTGTCTTTACCACTAATTGCAACCCCTCCTTAAACTCGGTTTCTATTTTCCTCTCTTTTCACCATTTTCCGTCTTTCCCACTTATTCTCTCTAAGACCTCTATTTTAACAAACCTGCACCAGGACCTACAATCTATTGAACTTACCAACTTCCTCTCTCACCCTCTCATCTTTCCTGTTCTTTTTACCAGTGTCAATTCTGCTGTCTGGCTTTGTCTCCCATCCCTTGCATTATACCCTCAACTCTCTCATTCCTTTTTCACTTCAAGGTGCCCACTTGCTCCCTCTTCTCCTGCACCACCTTTTATCCTTGCAGTGGAAAATTGCTGGGGGTTCCTCTTAAATTCATGATAACAGAACTCAAGTGGAACCTTAATTCTACCCCAAAAAATCACACTGTATTTCCCTTGTCGCCCACTGTCCCGCACTCCCAGAGAGCACCTTCTCCTCTCGCCTTAAACACTGCCCCCCCATCCTCGCTTTCAGCTGATGACCAAGTTTCTACATTGCTGAGAACACTGACAATCACATCTTCCGAAGCTCCTGCCATCTGCCAGTCCACCTCAGTTCTGCACCCTCTCTCTTGTTACTGGGTCAGTTCTCTGTGCTCCTGTCACCTCTCATTTGTACTCTGCATCCCATTGCCTTTCTCTTATTCAAGGGCGAGCCCCAGCAATTCTCTTCTCTCTCTCTTAAATCATTCATTTTCTTTCTCCACTGAATCATTTCCATTAGCATACAGACATGCAGTTATTTTCACAACTTACAACAGGATCCCTCCCACTCATTTCTGCCTCTGTTCCCCGCACGTTTTTCTGTTCACCTCACAAAATGCCTTGGAATAGTTTGTAGTCACTCTCTCCAATTCCTTTCCTCTTCACTGCTACTGAATGTACTCTGATCCGCCTCCACCTCCACCATTTCACCAGAACTGCTCCTTTCAAAGTCATCAATTACTTTCACTGTGTTAGATGTGCTGATGAGTCTCAGTGCTCTCCTTACTTGACTCAGCAGCAGTGTTTGACCCAGTTGGTCCCTCCCTCCCCCTCACTTGCTTCCTCAGGACATGGCACTTTCCTGGGTTTTGTCCTACCTCACACCATCCCCCATGGCTTCCGTGGGCTGAGGTCTGTTCCCTCTGGGGGCTCCATCCTTGAACTGATTTTTTCTATTTTGTATCCATAGTCACTTGCTTGATGAACGCATCCAGTCTCATGCAGATGACTCCTAAATTTATCTCCAGTCCACACCCCACCCCTGAACTCCAGACTCAGTTTTTAACTGCCTTCTTGCAACTCCACTCAGTCGTCTAATAACAACTTTCTTTCTTTCTATTTTTTTAAAAAATATATCTTCATTGATTTCAAAGAGAGGAAAGGAGAGGGAGAGAGAGGGATGGAAACATCAATGATGAGAGAGTCATTGATCGAGCCCACAACCTGGGCATGTGCCCTGACCAGGAATCGAACATCGATCGCCTGGATCCCAGGTCGATGCTCAACCACTGAGCCACGCCCGGCCAGGCTAATAACAACTTTCTGAACTGCCTTTCCAAACCTGCTCGTCCTGCTTTTCCTGTCTCAGTTAATGCCAACTCATTCTTTCAGTTATTTAGACAAAACTTCACTCCTTTGTCTCCTTTCTTCCTCTCCCTTTGCCCATGTAATGTCAGAGCAGCACACTGGACCCGGGCAACTTCTATTCCCTCACTACCACTCCATATCTGGTTCATGTCACCATCATTTCTCTCCTGGAGTATTGAAGCAATGTCTTGTCTTACCTTCTGCTTTTCCTCTTGGTCCTCAGAAGTCTATTCTCAACACGATAGTTAGAATGATTCTTACCCCTAAGTCGGATTGTGCTACACTTCATCTCCAACCCTCCAGAAGCTCCCTGTATTGCTAAGTGTTAAAGCTAACGTCTTTGCAAGGACCCAGGAGATCCTGCATCACCAGGACCCCTGCCCTCTCTGAGATCTCTTTTATAGTCACGCACCTTAACAACTGGGATACACTCTGAGAAATCTACGTTCGGTGATTTCATTGTTGTGTGTACATCACAGAGTGTACTTTCACAAACCTGGATGGTATGAAGCCTACTACACAGCTAGGCTATATGGTATAGCCTATTATTCCTAGGTTACAGGACAGCGTGGCACATTACTGTACAAAACAACACAATATTAAATCAAGCGCAAGAGAAAATCAAGAGAAGCGGTAAACATGAGATGTATGAAGCTGCTGCTGGCGTGACACGGCATACTGTTTTATGGCAAACTTTTGTTTATAAGTAGAAAGAGTATACTCTAAACTAAGGATTAAAAACTATGGTACAGTAAATACATAAACCAGTAAATTGTTATCAAGTACTATGTACTGTGCAAAATTGCATGTGCTATGCTTTTACACAACGGGCAGCGCAGAAGGTGTGTTACCACCAGCATCATCACAAACACATGAATAATGCGTTGCACTACAACACTCTGATGGTTTGGTGTCATTAGACAGGAAATTTTCAGCTCCATTATAATCTTCGGAGACCACTGTCATACAGGGAGTCCGTGGTTGACCTAAACGTCCTTATGGGGTGCATGACCACGCTCCCTCCTTGTCTCTCTTCTTTTTAGCTTGTTGACTCCTTTGGTGGTCTTTATGTACACCAGGGGGTGATTCAAGGGAAAACAATGTGTGAGGATAATTCTGTTTATCCTGTAAGGGATTGTCTGAATCAGCCAAAGGAATTTATTTAAGAGCCTTATAAATATAACCTTTTATTCAAAAACATATCCTTTTTATGCAGTGTCTCAAGAACCCAACACCACAAGACAGACACTTCCATTTGAAGGAGATTTCACAGTAAGTCTTCTTACATAAACCCTAAGTAAAATCCCAAGCAACAACGCAGTATCTTTCATCATGCTAGAATTTTGCTGTATTGAATAGTAAGTAAATAATTATATTGTTGCAATGCTATTTATTTGCAAGCTAATCTTGGTTAATCAGGGGTCAGCCCTTGGGTCTGGCCTCTGAATTATGTTCACATTTTGGTCATTTCAGTGCTTCTAGTTAATTTCACCCTGAGACTTTGCTTCTTCCCTCCCTTACCCCCACTTAGCAAACTATCTGATTTATAAGTGGGAGAAGTCTTTCTGAGTTAGGAGTTATTTTTAGCTATGCATAAAACATTTAAGAAGAGAGAAAAATAGGTTGAAGTTCAGAAAACAATAAAAGGCTTTGCCCATAAACCATAGCTCGTTGCCAGGTTTGCAGTGAAGCAAAGAGCTGTTACTGTCCTTGTG